TAAAGTCGCCGGCCAAGTTTTTGGCGCCGTTGTCGGGGAGTGAGTGAGTAAACAAAAATCATAATTAGAGTAACGGACAAATTAGGATTATTATAAATTTTTTTACTTGAATTGGAACTTATTTTTATGTTTAGTTAATTATATTATTGTGTACTGATTTCAAATTGTAAATCCTACAGCAGATGAAATTCACTTATCTATCCAAAATCCTGATGTAGTTGCTAATTCATCTGAGCTTAAACCTGCTATTATCCAAATGGTACAAAACAATCAATTCGGAGGTACACCAAATGAAGATCTGAACTTACACCTCTCTATTTTTTTAGAACTGTGTGCTACTTTTAAAAATGATAGAGTCTCAAACAAGCTGTTAGACTTAGACTTTTTTCTTTTTCACTGAGGGATAAGGCTAAGATGTAGTTAAATTCGTTAACACCAGGATCTATTTGAACTTGGGGAGAACTTTCACAGAAATTTCTATCCAAATATTTCCCTCCATCCAAAACTGCTAAACTTAGAAATGACATAACATCATTCTGTCAAATTGATGGAGAGTCAATATGAGATTTAAAGATCTTTTTAGGAAATGCCCTCATCATTCGTTACCAGATTGGTTGATAATTCAAACTTTTTATAATGGATTAGTGGGATATCTTAGATCGATTATAGATGCTGCGGCTGGTGGTTCGTTAATGTTAAAACCATTTGATGAGGCTTATTCATTAATAGAAGAAATGACTACCAACAATTTTCAATGGCCCTCTGAACGGGTAAATCCTAAAAGAATAGCTAGTATCCATGATTCTGATGCAATATCTATGTTAGCTTCGCAGATTACTGCAATATCAAAGAAATTAAATCACTATGGAATGAATTATTCTCCAACACCTCCTATGATGGAAGAAAATTCATCTGGGCAATTTGTGGATGTTCAACCTTCATATGAAACTTTAAATGCTATTAATATACCCAACAACCCTTATTGGAACTATTATGACCCAGGTTGGAGGAATCATCCAAATTTTAATTGG